TTAAAATGATTGTATCCTCATTACAAAAACCTCATGAGACTATTTGGTTACCCTACTTTCGAACTTAATTACATATCTGCGTATTTACCCTGACACTCTTTTCCACTCATTTAGTCACATTCACGTTTGTCTCTGTCAATCGCGCAACGGGCTGGTGTTTTCCACATTTTCCCATCCTTGCTTTCAATTCTGTCATTTCTTTGAAGGTCAGAAATCAATGGCGATGAGCCCATTCGCATCACGCTATCTTCGACATTTGTGTGCACCAACCTTAGCAGCAGCCAACACCATTCACTGCGAACAAAACTGGGACTGGTTAATTCTAAAAAGGATTAATATTGTTCTTCTTGATCTCGTTACGCACATTCACTGCTGGCACTACCCTTTTTAAGACGATATCACTTAGGGATCATCATAATAGGCCCATCTTCAAAGGAAACCATTAACGAGTTTTCTTATTTGGTTCTGATCTGATTAAGCATCACAAGCTAAAAAGTGTTTCGAAGTTCTTTTTCGAGCTTTTGTTCTCTCGCTTCTTTTTCGACACAGTTTAAAAATTAGAGTAACCCTGGCCATGCTCTCTATTGTGGTATTCGCTGGAAAATGCGAACGTTAAATTAATTTATTTCTAATAATGAATGAGGTATTTGCGTAAATTATCAGTAGGTGGATCTCTATTTACCAGACGTTATCATTATCTGGCTAATGCTAGTTTAAATCTGTTTCACATCCCTGCATTACAGATCAGTTCCGTAGACAGTCGCAGTGTGACCATCAACATCTCAATTCCTGAGAACCTCTGCATTGATGAACAGCCGCTAAACTCTACTGGGGAAATTCAAAAACCACCTTCCAATGTAACTTCCAAGAAGGGAGGGAAATCTGATAGGGCTGACAACGAGGATAGGGGTGAGGACACGAGTGCAGTCAAGTCCACCACACAAGAGTCTTCTGTCACCACTGTTGATGCTACAAATACCCCACCCATCTCAAAGTCTTGGTCTATTCCACCCTCCCATCTCCGGTTCGCACTCTACCTCTCCGAACGCGATGAGAACTTTGTTTGCGTCTACGTGTGCGTATAATTAATCACGCATTTCAGAAATTGGACTGAGGCTGGATGACCCATTACTACCCCTGCAACCGTTTACACTTTTATAATATTCTAACTTTTAATGAACAGTTGAAAATAGTAGAGATTTCTTGCAATTCACATACTGAAGCTCGTATAAGTAACATATGATGTCATGTCGGTATTTTGTCTTTACAGAATAAGGGCAGAGTTTTTAGAGACGGGAAATGAGTCTATGAAACCCTTGCTAATATTTTAGACGTCTTTTTTATTATTCTTTCACGAATGGAGCCTGTGGACAAGCAGCACTTTCCACCTGACTTTTAATGATTGAAGCTTTTTTTCGGAATAAAGAGATGAATGTTTTGTTTCGATAATGACGCGTATTTTTTCTCTTATTTCAGTGGCGAAGTAACCTGCATTCTGCTGCAAGATCTACGGCCGGGTGTCCAATACAACATAAAGTACGTCCGCTTTGATGCATTTAACTTCAGGTATTGAAGATGTCTCAAGTAAATGTCAACCTCATTGGTGTGCTACAATGTTAGTTAAGGAATAACCAAATTCAGACGATTCTTCTTCGGTGGTCTATGAGTTTTTATATCTTAAATACCTCACGCCTTGAAACAGCTGCTTCAAGCTTTTGTCCGGCTTTAGTTTTATCAAACTAATGGCTTTTAGTTGGCTTATCCACCGTTCTTTGTTGATGCGTACATAAGAACACGAAAATGTTAATCAGTTTAGTTCGCACGAACTTGACGCTAGCTCGGTATGAAGAATTTGACGTCGATTTAATGCCTACACCTTTTGCATCTCTTAGGCGAATAATCCTCGTTTAGCTGGACAATTTATCACCACCATCGGAGTAATCTCTTGCTCTACACATCAAGAAGGTGCATTTCAGTGGTCCTAGTGCCTTACTTTAGGTTTCACTCTATTCAGAAAATATACTACGATGCGATTCAGCTGCTGTAAGTAAATATGAGGGAAGGGCCTACCTACAATATACAGTTTATTTCTCAAGTTTGAAGTTCAAATTGAGGTAAACTAAGGCTTTTGAAGCGTTAGCCGAATTATCCCTCCTACGAAAACTTGTGATCCATGTGAAATCCACTTCTCCTCAGTCGGATTATGACGTATTAGCGATTTACTTAGCTAAAGCTGTCAAATTCGGTGATTTTCCATGCCAACACACTCTAGTATGCGATTTAACCACCACAGGCGTAGAAAATTACGAAGCTGATGCGTTTTTTCTTGGTTCAAAATATGCCACGCACTTTGATACGTATTTTTTATTGATGAAAAGACAAAGTCCGAGATTCAAGAAAGCACGCTTTTTATTGCCCTCTCCGGCCCGTCTTTGCTACTCCAATCTATCTGATAGATCTTACTCTGGTTTGCAGGATTCATGGACATCACGCTGAAATAGCATTAATGCATATTTAATTTTAGTCCGGTCTCTCGTGCTAGAAATGTTTATTTGAAAGACAAAACGAGGTAATTTCACGGCAAAATTTTACAAATGTGAGCGGTACTTTTTTAGCCCGTACAAAACAACACTGGTGTGCATTAGTGCGGGAGGTGTGTTACATTTTTGTGGAGGTTTCAGTCTCTCCTTCGCCTTCCTTTTACATGATGCTTCGTTAATATTTGGTAAATAGCGTCGAATCGGTTCTCAGTGATTCCGCAGAGAAGGGTGCCCTGTTGAAGCATCTGATTCTGGAAAACCCTAAAACATAATGGAAAGATATGAAACAGTAATATTGATGTCTGCTGCGCATAACCTAAACCGACCTTAAAATCATGTATACTTGTGAGGACTAACTACGAGACCACGATGTGCAGGCTGTAAGATCGCAGACTTGAACCTGGTGGTGCTCATTTCCGGGCTTGACACTACTGCCGCTTCTGTAAATCACGCACGGCAAGCCTTTGTCCGTTGTGTATGTCTTTAATGCTGACTGGCCCATCATTGCCAGCGCGGACATGCATAAGCACGTTCTGTAAGCCTTGTCCATGGTAGGCTGGCAGATTTACGCCTTTAGTGTGTGCTTAAATGACTCAAAAGATGTTTGCATCAATGGAATGCTGGTTGCCCCCATACCTCATCGCATAGGAAGTAGATTCATCTGACAGTTTTTATCAGTTTATTTTAAAATCTTTAACCAAGAAGATTATTTCTTTTCCTAATGAAAATATTTATGGTTTTCCAATTTGCACTTTAAAAAATTAAATACTAGTTTCGGCAGTGATATTGGAAGGTGATACTGCGTTTTTCATTGATGCTTTTTGTTTAGGTGGCTAGAGGAAAAGTATTAAATTTGCAATTACAGGATATTCATGCACCTACTTGTGATTCCTGCATGAAGTTTAGGTCGATCGGATTCCATTTTTGAAGGATTTAAGAAGGGGGGGTAGGGGGGGGAAGTGAAGTGGTAGCAGGCTCCTATGACCCTCAACTCCTATATCCGCGTGCACATCCAGGGGGATGCATTACCATGGCCGTCATCACTAATGGTGGCTGCCATCATCAGCATCATCACAGGCACACAAGTAACTGCCACTTATCGTATATCACAAAATACTTGTGTATGCCTAATGTCCTATTATGGACGCACACACGCACATCAGCAACGGTCTGTAAAAAATGATTTAGGGTTTGCTCTCGGCATTCACCCACCTCCCTTTCTGTTCTTTTTCCACCGAGTGATTAACAGGCAGGACCGCGTGTGGCAGGTGAAGGCGTCTGTTGTACAACAGAATTTGAGCTCACTTTTTTTCAAGGCGGGAGGATCTATTTGAGTATACTTGAGGCAGTGCTTAATTTTTAATCAGTCACAAGATAAAGCGTTAACTAAGCTCATAAAGTGTGCCAGATGTCGTAATGGTTATTTGCAACATTCACTTTTCTCAGTTGCTAACGCGGCGACGGGACAACAGGCCTGAAATGCAAAAAATCTACATTTTGTAACTTTTGTTTAATTGATTCAGTCGTATGATGTGATACACTCTATTTATCATGTTGGTATAATTGTCTAAGTTCCTTTTTTCATCTTATTTAACCAGAGCGTCGTCTGTTAGGATAGTCCTCTCTCCTGACTTGGTACTGTCTTGCACGAGTAGATATAGACACAGCCGAGATTCCCTTGTCTGATATTTCAGCTGCCTCCCTGTCCAAACATTTCCTGATTTGTTTATTTAAAAGCTTCTATTATGTACTATCATGAGCATTATTAATTTCGGACCATTTGTAACACCATTTAACAGAAGCTTACAGTACTTAAATCAGGAATGGTTTTAACGCCGAAGCAGCTGAAAAGCTAGACAATTTTTGTCTCTTCTCAAATCCAACAAGTTGAAGAATGAGTCGTCGTTCAACTTTTCTTCTAAAAAAGTTTTTTGTTTATCTTCAGCGTGGCTTATTGTTATGCTAATGATTTTGTTGATGTCTAAATGGATTTCATATTTTGCATGATTTTGTTATGCACTTGGACAGTTATGAGAATGCTTGGATTTATCTTAATGCGAGTCGTTATCGAAAACGCCTTTAGACCGTGTTAGTTCCTTTGTTTGTCTTTAAATTCCACACAGTGTTCATCCACTGCAAATGCGTGTTCTATTTACTACTTTATTGTTACATGTTCCTCATTTAATTCATGTACATCCGGGTTCCTCAAGCTCTTTGGTAATGCATGAATGTGGTGAGGACTGGCACCAAAAAGTGTACTTAACTGACTGTCACTTTGCAACCGATTCATTTTTGAGCAAAGGGCGAAGAGATCGTTGCTAGACTTTACCTCATTATTAGTGTCAAAAAGGATTGGATAGATTTGCTATAAAAAATCAATGCAAAAGCAAACTTTTTTCCGTCAGAAATGTGCTAAAGTATTAAGATAGTGAGCTTAAACCAAATGTAAGCCAAATAGTACTTCATTTCAAAGAAATTAAGTGTCTCTTTACAAAACTTTTTGCGCTTATCATTGGTGAAGTTTTGGTTTTTGGGAGTTGGCATTTTGCCCGTCTTAGCAATTGTCATTTTAACCCAATTTCTGGGTACTGTGGTGATTAAAAATACTCCTCAAGGCATTGTCCTTGTGAATTTATGACCATTTTGAAAAGTCGTTGCCTTGGTTAATCTATTTTCAACAATCAGCGTTCTTGAATGGTCAAGTTCGAGCAAATCATTGAATTCCCCTACTTCTCATTCATACAGCTTCGCACTTACATAGTCAGCTGGCATTTTGGTGAAATTGTTATGATGCATCCGATAGTTGCGTTGTTCTCATCCTCGTGTTTTTCCCAAACAAGATAACGTGATTTCTATCCTTCTTGAGTCTACTGCGTCATCAGAACTGCACAATTTCCTTGCTTATCCTTGATCCGTACAAAGGTATCACTGGATGTTATTTCATAGACAATGGGGGTAAACCACCAGAGTTACCTCGTAACACTCTTCAGGTATTAGAATTACGTGGCTGGTGTAAGTCTTTAGCTCTTCTACTTTGTAGAGTGTGTTGCATGTACGAGGGTCTCTGTGGTACTGCCTCAGAGTCCGCAGAGTTCGTCACCTTGGCAACCGAACCATCGTGCCCGCGGCCACCGAATGTGTTTGCAAGGACAAAGAGCACTCTAAGCGTGCGATGGGCGGTACCTGCGGACAATGGGTCCAAAATTATTTCTTACTGCCTCCAATACGCTACAGTCACCAAGGCTGGGGTAAGTAGATTCACAATTAGCTATCCTGTGGACACTACCTTCTAATGACGCCTGCCCATCAGATTTCGCAAATTATTTTGTGAGGTAAATTATTCCCTGACTTCCTGTCTTTCCACATGAAAATCTAATAAAGGCATTTGGAAGTAATACCCAAATATTATAAACTTTTTAGCTAAAACTAACGCGAAGGGTACTCAAGGAATTATTTAATAAGCGAGAAATTTATAGTGCAGAACTACGGGTTAGTGATAGCGCATGTGGGTAGTCGTTTGTCACTGCCAAAAGGCCATAGGAATTAAAAAAGCAAGATGAATGCGGCTTCTTCAGATTTCATTCCTGGTGTGAAAGTGGGGTGATTGCTACCACGTTTTATTTGAAACGTGGCATCGCTGTCGAACTAAGCTTACTAAGTACTTAAAAGAATCCTAGAGATTATTTCCAATTCATGTCTACGAGAACTACTTATTTTCCAATTTAACCCTGACAAATTCCCCTTGATAAGTTCAACCTTAAGAGGTAGCGTAGTGATAAGTGCCTAACTTCTCCTTCGTCTGTTGAACTTCCATTTTTTAAATGTACTAACTCCGTCAATTGTGCTTTGATTATGTTGTCCATTTTTGAATCTAGATCGCAAGGTTATTTTGAATGGAAATCCCCCTTTGACGCTCCTGGCTTATCTAAATAGATAGCCATGGGATTCTTTAAGCTATTTGACTTCTCTTACCGACCAGATATTTGAGATTTTAATAAATGGTTTCAAGGTGATGTGATTTTTTGGTTATTGAGGCAACTTTGCATTATTGGAGGTGTACAGCGACAGTGGTCTAAATTTAAAGTTTTCTCATCCCTATTGCAACGCTCCTTTAAATGCAATCAAGGCTCGATGCCATTGTTAATTTGGGTAGCTTGTCGACTATTTCTTAAATAACCAACTCGTTGACATGTTCAAAGGCTTTTAAATCCTCTTTTTTTAAGAAATGCACTAGCTTGTAATCTGTAGGGTTGTGTCTCGGGTCTATGAACGTCAAAGCCGGAGCAACGCACTCAAAAATAACCTTTTATAAATGATTTAATTAGCTTACGACATTCAAGCCAATAGAATGAAGGTGGAATTATTTTTTTTTCCCGAAGTTCTCGTGAGAAATCTCGGCCAATACTAGTGTATCATGTATGAGCCGAAATCGTTCAGTCATCCTCATTAAAAAGGGACCGATATTTGTCCGCAGAAGAGACGCTCCCAAACCTCCTTTTCCAGACAGGAGAAACTGGAAGGGAGGGGTTCCAGAAAATCATGTCAATTTCTCTCTTTAAACAATGTCAGAAAAATTAACACGCACAAAAACGGACCATTCGTTTACCTAGAGTGAGTGCGTAAAGAAGGCGAAGAAGTAGGGCCTAATTGGGGACCAGTGAGCCAGAAAACCAATTGGAGTGCGCTTTTATGTACCATGTGGTAGAGAAGAAATGACACACCCATTTGTGGCGACCAATTTACGCGCAGATCACATTTGGTCCAATGCAATAATGCCTCTGAAAACTAGAGAAATATAATTTTGTTCTCCGAAAAACTGGCTAATTGCCAATTTATGTGGGTGTATGCGAAAGGCGCCAGATGTTCTTTTATCGGAGCACTTATCTGTGATTGAATCAACAGACCGGGACAAAAAATACAAACCATTAGAAGGCGTGCTTCTACGCTCTGTGCCTGATCAAGAACTGTGGACAGCAGGTTAGTGTATGTTTATGACATTTACAGCCTCAAAGGCTACCCAGCCGTCCTCCTACCAAGATGCATTCACTTAACTTTTCGATAACTCGTACGCTATGGAATTAATATTCAGTGACATGCTCCCTCAGAACTTATTTTCTCTTCGTTCGGGAGGTTCATTTTATGAAATGAAAAACAAATACACACCTGGGTAAATAATGCGAAATTGGTACGCTTGTGATGCCTGTCCTTCTTTGTTTTTTTATCAAGTGCCAACTCTTAAAACCTGCCAAATTTTTAGGGTAAACAAATTTTAAGCTCGTGGAAACTTATATTGCTAGCCCTATAAAAATCGACCTTCGCAGCCCATATTTTACTGTTCTGATAGGCTACATTACTTGTAATTATTTTTTTCTGGTCAACCCAAATGCTACTCAAACGCTTGGAAGAATATAATTATACTCAGACTACGAACGCCTTACGTTTATAGCATTGCCTTAAACTCACCTAATCTGTTGGACATACGATTTGATCCGTCTAGTTGTCTTTAGAATGGTTAAGAGCACGCCATGCATTTGTGACTTTAGACTCAGACTAGGAAATCGGGGGCATCATGTTACTTACGGGATTGATAGTAAACGTGTTTAGCACAAATCGAAGAAGCGTATCTCCAGGATGAATATGGGAAATCTGGATTAACTAATCTATTTTTACAGTATCAGGGACCGAGTAGCCTTGTCAATTCTGAGTGGTGGAAGAGGTTGCGCATTGTCTCAGCAACGCATGACCGTGTGTTTTGATTAATGTAAGTGATTGGGTCTGCAATCAAGGGGCTCACCAAAAATGAATGGGATGGGCCGATGTTTTGCACTTTTTATGTTCATACCTCCTTTCTCAGTCTTTCTGTTTGAATTTACTGGTACGATGACCGGTAAATTATCCCATCTGCGCATTTTATTGCCAAGCATTGCCACACGTATAGGCAATTTATTTTCATTTTCTGGACGTGAAAAGAATCAAATCTTTTGGGAGCGTACTTAATCCTCAAATGGGAAAAAATTGCTTATTTTTTTTCCGCTCTCCTGCCTTTTGTGGCGCCCTGTGCTCCCCCTCCCTCCCTCTTGTAAATGGCACAGTCTAGTCCATTACCATTGAAGCTAATATAAGGATCACTAATTTGTCTGCTGGCAGTCGAGCTGCGTAAACACTTCGTGCCAGTCGTTTAATTACCGCCGGTAGAGGCAGTGCCGGGATTGTTGACAATGCTTCGTGTTAATTCGACCGCAGACGGGAACAACTCTACGTTAACAACTTTTTCTCATTCATAAAGTTTACTTTCAGCAGGCTGGTGGTGCTTTTCATTTCATGCAAATTGGTATAAGCTGTGGATGATACAAATATTCCAGTTGGAATATAGATAGCCAACACTGCTTGTGTAGTACAAGTTTGTTTCCCTAATTTCACTGCCCTCTGAATCGGTATACCTGTCAGTATCTACCTTGTACATCTTTGGAAGGGCCCTAAAACTCCCAAATTAGCTAGACTGAAATGATTTCAGAATTAAATTTAATTGTCGTTTTGGCCACATAGCGATTATTTAAAGATCTAAGTAATATTATCACTTACCCCAAGGTTTTAAAATTCACTTGACGACGATGTTTTAAAAAAAAAATTTCAGAAGTCTGTCTGTTTCTTCATGGGGAAAGTCATGAACATAGTAGTGATTGCTACGACCAAAGCAGAACAATTGCTCGAGAATTGCCTTTCATTTCAGTAGAGGAAAAGTACTTTTTTGATTACTCAAACATTGCCTTTTTTAAAAAAAATCAGCATCGGCAAATTAGGTGTCAGCTGACATTCTTAAAGTAGTCCATTCCTCCTTTTCCCAAGCGCTACTTTTTCACTTTTATTCGCCACGCAAGTATGCTTATTAATATAACTTGTACATTTGAATGGGGTTGCGGATACCACTGATTTCTGTTTGCGATATCATTGTATGCAAAAAATATTTCCGTTATACGGGGGCTGGAAAATCTGCTCGATTCCCATCACATAATTTATTCATTCTTCTTACGATTTTCAGTTGTACAATTGTTTTTTCTCCTGGAACCTTTTTTGCTCTCAACACCATCCTTGACTTTTTTCGGAAGGTGAACGATAGCTAGTTCAAAATTCATTCATCAATGTCCGTAGTTCATAAGTCCTCAGACTAATAGATCTTACTCTTAACAAAGACTGGAACTGTTATTGTGTTAGCTAAATGAAAACCACTGCTAGGCCTTTCTGTTAGTTTGGCATCCATTAGCAGTTTTCCGATAGTCTAAGGATATCCTATAGCGCGACTCTACATGGAGTCTCCACAACATTCCTAGATCGGTGCTTCTGATGTCATACTTTCTTCATAGTACCAGCGTAGCCTATCTGAGGTTATACGAGCAGGCAATTATACCACCCCCATTTCTTTAAACACGATCCGTTATGCTGTTAAGTTAACCTTCCTTTTACGACCAAGTGGATTCCCAAAGTTATGAACTTAATATTTCCACTTCAGGGGGCGCCATCATTTCAGATTTGCTACACGGGGATCCAACGCTTCCATAAGCTTTCTCATCTCCTACCAGCCACCACCTATATGCTACGTGTTGCGGCAATCAATACACATGGACAGAGGTTAGTTTGTGACGGTTCTCTCATTCATTCCTCTCTCCTGTTTATCATCGTAGCCTTTCTTCAGTCTTTAAATTCACTTTTTCCAACAAATACGCCTTTTAAAGCTCAATAGAAATTGGGACGTAAATGTTTCCCGTTATTTATTTCCACCCAAAGATCACCACTTTTTTGCTTAAATGCAAATGTATATCATACAGGTATATGTTGATCCCAAAAAAAGCTCCTCCACGAAAGGGAGTACATACATATATAAGCCGCGAAAACTTGTGCGAATTGTGCGGTACAGGTAGTGAGGAAGTATAAATGCTGTCTCTGGAGTGGAAGATGCCTGTGTCACACATTGAAAAACTAACGCTTTGCTAGTCTATGCTAATTGTCCACGCCTCCCTTTTTTCCCAGGGGGCTCTAAATCGTCTAGAATGGGAGGCTGGGCATTGCAGTAGGGCTATGCTTATGGACACTCATCGTTTCGCATTGTGATATAGTGAATAGGATATTAGCTACGATTAACGAACTGTTTTCTTTATCCTTGCTTACCGCTTTTAAGGAATAATTGCCAATGTTCTGAAGTTCCTCTAAATCCTATCACTACCTGGTCATTTTAAACAGTAAGTACCTTGGTGGTTATGAGCTCTAATCCTTGAGCCATTCATGAGATTAGAATAATCCATGCCTCACGCGCTTTCTCCATCGTAGCCCCTGGAGTGATGTAGTGTCGGTGATGACTTACGGTCTGCCACCATCTTCACCTGATCCGCCGCGTTTGCTTAAAGCCACGACTCACAGCCTTCATCTCACCTGGGAGCTCCAGCCCACTAGTCACGGGTCCTCCTCAGCCCCTTCCAAATCAATCCTGCGCTACCAACTGGAGATGCAGGAGGGCGAAGCGCGTCAGCACTTTAAGAAGGTTTACGACGATGACGCCACGCAGTACTTGGTGGAGGGTCTGCGGCGCTGCTGTCTCTATCGCTTTCGACTGGCTGCTAGCAATGTGGATGGAACTAGTCATTGGAGCGATATCGTAGCCTTCCGTACCGTTCCTGATCTACCCACTGCTCCCAAGGGTCTAAGAGTGAGTTTTCCTTTTTTACAGCCAAATAAGCCGGAGGTCCAAATGTTGTCATATTTCGGGATGTCTTGCGTAAACAGAGGGAGAGAACAATATCAGCATTGTAAACAATTTCCATTTGGCGGTTGTTTACTTATCTTTTCAGTTCCTAGGTGCAGAAAGCAAGGGCATTTGAAATTTGAGTCCCACTGTTTCGGCTACTTTGTTAAGCTATTAAATAGGGGAGGGCAAAAGTGCAGACTCCCCATCATTTCCTATGGGAGCATAAAATTGCTATGAAGGTTACGACCTTTCCAACGCAATTTATGATATGCATTCTTGTGAAGTGATTTGAAGCAATTCCTTTTGCGATTTCGTCCCAACTTTCTCACTTGAGCCGACGCGTTGCATATATATATATATATATATTTAATCAAGAGGAATAAATTGGCCTGAAAAAGAAAAGGAAATTCTGAGATCCTGGTTGCGGGTGTGTGTATCAAATGCACGTGCGTTGATTCGAAAAGACGAAGTCGTGTTCGTAATTTTTATAAGCAGATTTAGAAATTATGATTCCAAGTGAGCTGATGAAATGTGCGATAACGGGAAGCGGGTATGGATTTCGCGTTACAATAGTCTCAGGGCGGTAATAATGGAGTGATAAGAATTGGCTTTCTAGATTGAGCCTATTTCATACTGCCTTAAAAATCAAAATGTTGTTAATACCTGGTTTGTGAATAGACTATTTTGATCTGCTATGGAGTAACAAAAGTTGCTGTCGAATGCTTTCTCACCGAATTGAGGGACTTTATGTGTGTATTCATTTGGTTATTTATTTATTTATTTGCCACAGAGGCAACTTTGAATCCAAAAACGAGTTAAGAAGACACAATTATCCGATAAAATCACAAGTCGGTAAAATGTTTGTATTTATTTACTTTGAAGATTGATAATTACGGAATATGTGAAGGCTCTGAATGTAAACTTGCATCAAATTATGACATTTTAGGCTAATATACCAGATCTCAATTCATAATGTATGCCTATAATCGAGATGATTTTGATCGAGGGCATTGATTTGGCATTGTTTTGCAGTTGCGAGGACGCGTGCGGCCGTTTCACGTGAACCTTTGTTGGTCAGCTCCGGACGACGACGGGGGGATGCCGGTGAGCGCCTACCGATTGGAAGTCCTCATGCCACAACTGCCCACCTCACTTCTTCGCAAGTACACCATGCACCAGCAACAACTACAACACCAACAGCACAAAAAGGAAAGTTTGCACTATCTCCATCCCGCAGCTGACTCCGAGGAGATCAAATCTTCCGAGATTCGGGGCCCTATTTGCTGGCCGTGGGTCATTGGTACGTTCATTTGCCTTGAGTGCGACTTACAAGTGGATTGAAGCAGTTAATTTATCAAAATTCCCTTTACAGGAAACTGCAAGCCCTCTGGCAATTAGCCCCACATACATAAATCGTTTTTATCGCTTTTGTACAATTTTTGCGTTGCACATTTGTTGTCCCCCAGCCTTTATGGCCATTTGCCCCACCCCACCCCACCCCCGGAGCATACACATGGTGAAGCCTACTTCTTTCGGCTGCCCACAGTCTTCTTTGAGATAAATGGGGCAGCTGTCCTTTATTCGAATTAAGATCCCGGTAGTATGCGGTGCTCCGAATTCCCTATTGAGAGACGTTATTTGCGCGATTTATTGAGAGAAATTCCTTCTTGAATTGCGGGAATGAAATTTATATAATAACAGCCGGTAGTATTGCTATTATTTTGGGACGTAGGGCTCCATTTTTGCCTCATTAACTGAAGATTTTGGGAGCTTATGAATAGAGATGGATCTTAGAGATCCCCTCATCCAAATACTTTCAATATTGACGACTTTTAATCCACACGTTCGATCATTGGTTCCATTTACTCATATTAATGGCCAGAAGACTATGTTTAACATTTATTCATCAATTCACTTCATTTTAATTTGAATGGCTTTTTGTAAGTGTTGTCTGAATTTAACTTGGCGCTGCTCTTCGATCACAGGTCTGAATTAGTAATGAATAGCACTTTAATGATACAAACATCAGCCCATTTACCTGACACTCAGTTGTGATCTGCAATATTCTTCTGCAAATTGTTATTGTTATTTCTAATGACTTATTCATTTTTGCGATTGACAAGCTCTTACACGAAACAGAAGTCATTACGATGATGGTGCTGAACTCAAAAGACATTTTCACATGGACTTTTTAATGTCTTAATCCAACATGAATAAAAATAGCTTAGAATGGTCTAATTGGAAGTAGGGTATCCTTTTAGAAAATCAGATCTGATATCTATGGGGGACGTTGAAATACTCCTTTTCTCTGGCCCTCCACTCCGAGGACGATTATCTGACCGCGTTTCGAGTTAGATTTACTCCAAAATGCCATCTCCGATATTTATAAGGGTAGGCATTTCACGATTCTTCTAATCCGTAAAATGAGCTTATTTCATGTTTTAATGTCGAACACTATACTAATGAAACCTTTCAATCAGACATTCGTATGGGAGTTCTGATAAGCATTAAACTGATCACATACGGACGCAGTGTTCATGACTGCGTCTAATGTTTGATCTTTTAGCTAAGGTTTCAATGCAGTTTTTACTCAGTTGCAAATTGATTTCCTATTTCTTCCTTCCTCACGTTCTTGCATGCTATTTTCTTCAGCTTTCCCAGCCACGAAATCCATTCAAATTATCCACGCTCAAAGGCCAAAATAATTTATTTTTCAACGTCAAACCTATCCCTAAACGGAAAACCCAGTCCACGAACGTCAATTTCCAACTTCTAGAATTAGCGGGCGCTTTGACTACGCGTTGATATCCCAATTTCTGTATCCGAATGGCACCAAGTGTTTTTTTTTCATTTTAAAAATAAAATGATATTTTTTGGGCAAGCAACCGTAGAATTTTTTTTTGCGACCACGATTCGTGAAAAATTTTAACTTTTATTCATTTACCTTTAGTGCGTGGAAGGATACATTTTTACCACAGTGGAAATGGGATTTATCTAACCTTATCTCAGGTTTCTTAAGTGGTCCTTTAACACATTCATTTCTCTTCCTTCCATCATTACCAGCCTACCCCATCAATATTTTCTAGTAAAAAATGTTCAGATAAAGATGATTGTACAGCAAGAAAAACTTAGGCGATGGTTGAGAAGAGTCTTCAGTACGATTGTGGTGAATTGTGTGGTGCAGTCCTTTCAAGTATGAAATCTACGCCCCTTCATATTCTACCCATTTCTATAATGTCTCATGTGCCTTAAACCAAGAAATTAGAGTATTCAAGTGAATATGGCTTTTTTGACACAATGACGGTGGCTAGCCATATTCACAAAAATTATCTGGTCACAGCGCATGTTACATGTGCCTCAAAAGGGTGATGATATAATGTGCGACAGTCGTTAGGCTGTGAAAATGTATCCCTTGAACTTTAGTCAATGTTCACCCCTTCACGATTATGCTTTTTATTCTCAAAGAAATAATTTGTACAACGTCAGTTACAGTGTAGCAGATTTTGTAACCAGTGAAAAGCTTTTACTTGCAAATTCTTGGAGCCCTCCTCCAATTCGTTCAACACTTTGATAACTTTAGTGCTCTCAATGGCGCATGTACCTCTTTTCTTCACACAAGCGTCATTACCAAAAAGTGGTTATTGTTCCTTTTTTGTGCACCTCTGTGGGCTTTCCACCTGACTGTTTGAGTTACTTGCTCTAATTTGCTTATTGCGCTGCTGAGCCAAATGCAAATTCCTTTGCCATCTGCCAATCCAGAACATTTTGCCTCTTTATTTACGCATGAACGGAGCGTTTTTATCCGCTGTGCTAAAATTAACTACGAATTTCTCGCAGTAAATATATTTTTTATACACTGGTAGTGGTGATTTACCGGAGAATACTTATTTAAAAACTTGCAGCGTTGTTGTTTTTTATACCCAAAATATCGTACTCTCTTCATTTAAAGCTTTGGACTAATATTTAAAAGAATTTGCTAACGATATTCCATAAAAACTGCTTTCTAAATTAGTCAACTAATGTCCCTCATGGTCAATCTACAGATTTTCGAGTAGTGGCGCTTTTAAAACACAAAAAATCATACTTCCATTCCGTTGTAGGCCTGGTCAATTTTGAAACAACTGTACTTCAATTTCTCTGTGATCGACTTGGCGTTTGTTTTTATTCAATTCACTTTCATGAAATCTCATTGTGACAAAGGAATTGGAACGTTCATTAGTTTTGTAATCAGAATACCAAAAAGTAGTTATCAAGTATTGGCAGTCGTTTTTCCTTTGTGCCTTTCTGATACATTAGTTTACATGGAGTCTAACGAATCTTCGCGCTTTTAAAAGCAAGTCGGTTTTAATGCAAATAAAAGCAACATTAATGCCCGTCTCCCAGACATAGTAGAGCTTGGACTCGTTCCTTTGTTCTCTCCCAACATCAACACGAATTGCTAAAAATTGCTGCGATCAAAGCAGGTCACTGATGTTTTCTGAGTTTGCCTAAATCCTATATATATTAGTGTTTATCCCGATAAACGTTATGATAATTGCAAGTTAAATTGGTTTGCGTTTGTCATTAGAGGACTTCTGACTGGTTTAGAAGAATGGGCTGCTGTATCTGAACATCTCTGAACCATTTGGATTTTAATTAGCCTTTGACGCTGGGCTGAGTTAGTAATTCCTCATTTTCTTTTGATGTCCCGTTTGTTTTACGCCTACTTTAAGCTTCATCAGATAACAACGCGTTCGCGTGTGTGCCACCGTCCACCTACGTACTTCAACCACCTACGAGCAGTATCTATTCCTTGGGAAAGGTGAACGACGTGCCGCAGTTGCCGTTCCGCGTACCCTCCTCCGCCAGCCCGATCAACAATCCTGGTGAGCGGTCTGGCGCTGCTGCCACCTCCTCGCTCAGCTTCTCCGAGAGCTCCGACAACGAGGCCACCGACTCTGCCTGTGCCTGGTACGCAATCTACGAGGGTCGCTGCAAGGAGGTAACTGTTTGCAACCTCATACCTGGCCAGTCCTTCCAGTTTCGCGTCCGTGCCTCCTCGCATCGTGCGACTGTGTCTAGTCAACCCCACGCTCGTACTACAAGTTCATCCAGTGTCGTCCCTTGGGGTCGCGCCTCGACCTCTCCACTTAAGGTCACCACCCCCGCCGTACCTCCAATTAACCCACCCTCAAACCTCCGTCTTTTCGGCCGCTCCAACCCCACTGAACTCAGTTTCACCTGGGATCCACCCACATCAAACGGTGGGGCTCCTATTCTCTCCTACGAACTCTGGCAGTCACTCCGTGATCCAATCTCTGGGAGTCCAATTAAGTGTACATCTTGGCCGAAGGCCCCTTCTTTTGTGATGGGGATTACCTCCTCTGAGAGTATGCGAGACCTACATGCCAATGTGGAACCAATTCCTCCTTCCTCTTCCTCCGTGGCGGCAATAGCAGCGGGAGTGCTCTCTGCTCCCGGTTCCGTCACCTCTAGTCCTCAGCACCAGACCAGCATTGCCACCCCCTCACGGTTAGTCTTTGCGGGTGTGGAGAACAGTTGTGAGGTCCGGGGCCTTCACTCTGGCCAGTTGTTTGCCTTCCGGGTACGTGCTAGAAATTCGACTGGTTGGTCGGAGTGGTCTGAATGGAGTACCTTTGCTACGGCACCATCACCGCCATCAGCTCCTGGGGCGCCACCGCGAGTGAAACCGACCTCTGCAACCAGTGTGTTGGTGAGTTGGGAGGAGGTGGGGCAGACTAACGGCGCCTCCATCACCGAGTATCGTGTTGAGTGGCAACCGCGTGTCGATGAACCCTCACAGACCTGCACTCCGTCTGGACGTGAACACGATGAGGAAATACTACTTCTGACCACCGAGACTAACAATGTTTCCGGATCGAGAAACCCTAGTTCGTGTTCTCCTTCCATGGGAATCTCTAAGTGTCTAAATGATGGTTTCCAACTGGTTAGTTTTTGTTCAATTTCATTGTTTTCATTCGATGTAGTTTCAAGGATCTTTGTTTTCATTTCCTTTTAATAAAATAAGTAGAAATTCAAATTATGTGTGCTGTAAAGCATCTTAGCTCAAGCATGGTTTTATTCCTAAGCTACAAAGTAGCCTTTTTCTTCAGACAAACGTGCGAAATGCTCTAGTGGTAAGAAGAAAAGTAACTTGGAACGGCGCTGTGTTGTACACTTGGCTATATTTCATGATCCGCTTAGATCGCAAATTATCAACCCCACATTTGCAATCTCAGATTATGTACCTATATAAGACTATTTTTCACTGCCTAAATCCAGATTCGCAGGTGTAGTGCCCGTTTAAAGCATTTTCGCCTGAAAAGTGGCTTGAATTGCTAAACCCTAAGTAGTTAATACCTACGATCAAGCTATTTTGCAAACTTGATGTATTTGGGAAACTAACTTATCAGTCTTTATATAATAGGAGAGTGATTTTTATTTGTATTTCCACTAGTTTTACGCTTTTATGCGTCTAAAATTGGGAAAGCTACGCTTTGTCATTTACTTTTATGGATGCTAAACTGGCAAATATTTGTAAGATTGCTAAAATATACCATTCATTTTGCTCGAGTGTGTTTATATCAAGTGACCAAAGTGGTTCGTGTGAATTTTGCTAC